CATCGTGATGGCTTTAGTAAAGCAAATAATTCCCACGGTGGACCCAAGCCTGATTTAGCCTGGACGACCATTACAGATGTCTTTGCTTCCACTCAGGCACTGAGAGACTCGGCTTGCTATCACGGAACCTGTGGCTCTGCCGGGGACCAAAGAAGTCATGCAGAATGGACAGCCACTCTCCAACGCCCACTTGAGCAGACCCGCAGAATTCCTGGCCAAGCCGCTGGGTCCAGATCAGCAGTGCGGGGCCCACCTGGTAGGTCAGTGACAGTGATGTGGGTCCGCTGGCTGCTGGAGGATTGAGGCATAGGACGCCCCCCAGTGGTCAGAGCGGAGAGAACGACACCTTAAGTACAAGAAGTCTTTGCCACACTCAGTCTTTCCCCTAGTGTATACAGGAGGAAATAGGCTCAGGACAGGCAAGCATAATGGGAGGGAAACATTAGGAACATACCTATTCAATTTTAAAAATGGATTGCAAGTTCTTAAAGCTTTCTTTGTCCTGTTCTACACGGCAAACCCTTGAAAACAGTGTTTCCACATTGTTTTGCTGTCCACTAAACACTGCGATTGTATGTACATGTGCGGTACTTGCCAGCTCTGTCCAAACACACATGCTCGCACATGAGAGGCTGCCACCAAAGTACCTCAGTAATTACAAGTTTAAGAATCCTCATTGTTGAAAATTACAAACCCAGGGGCCTATAATTCACAGAATGCTTGTTTTGCTGCTCACTTGATATATTTTATTATTAAATTTGAAAGAAATAAAGTGAAATTCTTTGTAGGGTCATTGAGATAATTATTTCATCATAAATGTAGATGAAATTGGTAGATGATATGGGAACCTGAAATTAAGTATCATTATCACATTTATGTGAAGAGCAGTTTCCAAACATTTTAAGCATCTGCTTATTTTAGGTTCTTTCTACATCAAGGCCATTTTCAAGAGATTGTAAAGCATTGGTAAGTTTCACTCTTGGAATATACAACAAAAAAATAAATTTGAGAAGACTGAGCCCTCAATAATTACAAATTTTTACTAATTTCCTAAAGTTCTCCCCAAAGTTTTATGATAAAATGAAGACGGGAACTATGCAAGCCTTGAACCTCATCTTCTTGATTGGCCTAAATGACGGCCAGCTCCTGGTGTCCTCTTCCCTTTACCCTTTTACTGTGGAACCTGACTCTAGTTGATGCCTGAGGTCCAAGCGCTCCGAGTGCTCCTCACTCCCCCTTCACCATCCTCTCTCTGGGTCATGCCAGGAAGTCCCATGATTCTGGAAGCCATTTGTACACTGATATGTGCCAAATTTATCCTCTAGGGTGAACTTTCCCCTGAACTCCACATTTATACCCAACTGCCTTCTTGCTCTGCTGACTTAGCTATGCTACAATCATCTCAAATTTAGCCTGTGGAAGAGAAAGTGATTTATTCTCCAGTCTCTCCCTGTCCCCGTCTCTGGCTCCTTTTATCCTTTCCTTCTACATCCACCTCATCAACTTTTGTGTAAACTTCTGCCAGAGTATCTTTTGAATTCAAGTCCTTCTCTTCCTTTACCACTGTTCACTGGGGCGTGCAATATTCTCATCTGATTGCCATAATAACCTGTTATCTTGCCTCTACCTTCATTCTTTTTTTTAAATTGAATTTATTGGTACATTCTAGGTAGACAGTACAGTTACATTCATCACTGGGATCTTGTACCTTTACATGCCAGGTCTTGGTTCTCATTTTTCCCCTTGTCCCCACCCTCCCTTCACCC